CATCATCATCATCATCACCATCATCATCATCATCATCACCATCACCATCATCATCATCATCATCACCATCATCATCATCATCATCACCACCATCATCATCAACATCACCATCACCATCATCATCATCATCATCACCATCATCACCACCATCATCATCAACAATATCATCACCACCACCATCATCATCACCATCATCATCATCATCACCATCATCATCACCACCATCATCATCATCATCATCACCACCATCATCATCATCATCACCACCATCATCACCATCATCACTACCATCATCATCATCAATATCATCACCACCACCATCATCATCACCATCATCATCATCATCACCATCATCATCACCACCACCATCATCATCATCATCACCACCATCATCATCATCATCACCACCATCATCACCATCATCACTACCATCATCATCATCAATATCATCACCACCACCATCATCATCACCATCATCATCATCATCATCACCATCATCATCACCACCATCATCATCATCATCATCACCACCATCATCATCATCATCACCACCATCATCACCATCATCACTACCATCATCATCATCACCACCATCATCATCACATCATCATCATCACCACCATCATCACCATCATCACTACCATCATCATCATCAATATCATCATCACCACCACCATCATCATCATCATTACCATCATCACCATCATCATCATCACCACCATCATCATCACCACCACCATCATCATCATCACCACCATCATCGTCATCATCACCATCATCATCAGTTTGAGGTTTTTCTTCAGCTTCCTGAGCTCTGCAGTGTTTGTCTTCCTGCTCCTCGACCTCCTGCTCCTCATCCTCCTGCTCCTCGACCTCCTGCTCCTCATCCTCCTGCTCCTCATCCTCCTGCTCCTCGTTGTGACCTTTGACCCTGACCTCAGATTCAAAGACTTCCTGTCTGCAGAGCTGAAGTTCAACTTCAGACTGAATGATTCAGTGTTTCTGCAGCTCACGTTCAGGTTGCAGTACCTGGACCTGGACCTGGACTGGGACCTGGACCTGGACCTGGAGCTCCTCCGGTGAGCTGAGGAGGTTTGCCCTCCTGAAGCCCACCATCATCCCTTCAGAAAAAGACGTTTTTAATTTTTTTTTATTTATTTCAATAAAAGTATTTTTGTTCATTTCATTAATTTGCTCATTTTCCACATCATTGCTGCTTTCATTGATTCGTTGCTGATGGAACTCTCATGAGATGACGTCATCAGATCTTTGAATAAAGAAACGTGTGTTTTGCTGCCCCCTGCTGGGGGAAACTGTTCACTGCAGATCAGAGGATTCATTTCTTATTTTCAACAATAATTCAGTAAATAAAGACTGATTCTTTATGTTAGTAAACATTAGTTATTCACCATTTATTACAGCTGCATTAATAAATGACAGATGTGTCTCCATAAGTGTGATATTTCTGATAATAAAAGAAGTTTAATATATTTCAGTTAATTATGTTTATTATGGATGATCTGTGGCTCCACCCCTTTTAACGGAAGTGAAACCTTTGTTTTTCTGCAGAATTATGAGCAAACATGTGAAAGTACCTGATGAAGAAGAGCTTGAACTCAGATAAGAGTCTGAGCTGCTGCTGACGTCATGCTGGAGCTAACTGTTTTAAACACGTGCAGGAACGAGCTGGGAGCACTTTGGTCTAAATTTAACTCTCAGATTTGACTCAAAAAGGTCGGAGCAGAAAAGGCTAATGCATAAAAAGGCCCGAGGTGTAAAAAGCAACGTGTAACACGTCTGAAGTGACAGAAACAGGAAGTGTTCATGCAGGAGGCCGAGCACTTCCTGTTCACCAGCTTCTTCTAAATAAAACACATCCAGAGGATCAGGTCAAGTTCAGATGACTCAATAAGAGACTTTAAATCTTTACGTTTATGTGTCAAAGTAAAGACAGTTGATAAGTTTAAATATGGGTGCCGTTTGTAAAGTTTCAGTCAAAAATTACCACTAATATTTTTGTTTTATTTAGCCTTTTATAAGAAAAAAGAACAGATTTATTTTTCCAAGTCAGTTTTTCATCATATGATTCATACATTTATAAATGTGATAGTTTATAAACTAAATATTTAACTTACAAATTAAATATTTAGTTAACAAGCTAAATATTTAACTTGTGACAAATATTTAGTTTTGAGCTAAATGTTTAGCTTGAAACTTAAACATTTAGGTTGCAACTTAAATATTTAGCTAGCAGTTAAATATTTAGGTGGCTAGCTAAATATTTAAGTTTGAAGCTAAATATTTAAGTTTGAAGCTAAATATTTAAGT